GTAAACTAACAGTGATAATGATGTGAAAATTTAGACACATCAGAAACAGTATTATTAATCTAAAAAAAAGAAAATTTTTGATGCGTTTAATGCAGACAATCTAAATGAGAATCTCGGAACTTTCTGAACATTCTTCTTTTTCGACTCTCCTCCATCATTCCCAAGTGCCCATAGGATTGCTTGAAGTTTTGTTACATACCTCTTTTTTCTTGATGAATTCCGCTCGAGTCAGCTCTGATCTTTCTTTTTACGTCTGTCTTACCCCTAAAAAATTAGATTTCAAGAGCTGAGTTTAACGATGTACGACCTCCACCGGAGAAACGAGGCTATACCTTACTCGCCTGCCTGAAACATTCTTATATAAAACAAGAGATCACACCTTCGTGTGTGTCCATCAGGCAGTGATTGAGAGAATGACCTCTCCCTCTCTTTTTTCACAGGTTAGGCCTTAATACAATACTGGACTTCCATTTTCTTTTTAATCCATTGTATGTAACGAATTCTGTATGTAGACTCTATACATTAACTCACCCATATAATAGTTAGGTTCTTCTCTTTCCCTCTCGCAGAAAGGGCATCAAGGCCGGGCGTTGTGATCTCGCGCCCAGTGTCTTTTTGTCCCACTTTGGAGCGCCAAATTCCACCTCTTCGTCGAGATACCAGAACCAGACATATTCAAACTCGAGGCATTTTGTCTTTTCGAAAAAATCATCATCCTGATGATGGTCTACTCTACTCTGCATTATTTCACCCCTTTGAAAACGATGTAAGCGCTAATTGAGGAGTTATTCTACTCGCAAAGTACAATTTGCAAAATTTGTCTAAATGTAGCGTGACAATTTTTTATGAGTTCTAAGAGTTTTGATAATATTTTTGACACTAAAAGGTTCTAAAATAGATTATAATGGCCGTAATCGACTCGACTGCTAATTGAGAAGTTACTCCATATAAATTATGCAACTCGTGAAATTTGTTTGTCCCGACCTAAGTCTTTTTTGAAACCTCCGGAAGTTCTGATAACTAATTTGAATAGGATTCTAAGAGTGTCAAAGAGAATGTAAAAAAAAAAATTATAATGGTCGAAAGCAAACCAATCAATAATTAAAAAATTATTCATCAAATGTTAGTTTCGTAACTTTCTATGTCAATGTTTAAAAAAATTTTTAGGATTTGATATCTTTTTACTTATACAAGAACTCTGAAACTTGTCAAGAAGAATTAGGTGAGCTATTTAGAACCATTCGAACTTAAGTTTAGAGAATTCTTCAATATTGGTTGTGAAGTTGGCACACCATTTTTTAATTGCTATTTTAGTAATATTAATTGCCATAGCTATTTTATAAACACAAAAGTACTCTTGCATTTTTCAACAGGAAACTGTAATTCTAATCAGAATTATTAAGAACTACAGATGCTAACTTCATACACTTCTTGGCGGCACTATCCTCTTCGGGGATTTTTATCAGGATATCGTGATCACGTGATCGCGATTCGAACTTATGTATCCCAGACACCAATGTATTAGGTCAATCGGAAAGTTCCATTTTTTTTGCAAAACGTATGGCTTTATTTAAGAAACAAAATAAAAAAGTACATCAATCAAAATATTGTCCATCGTTAGCAATGACTTTTTTCCATCTTTCGGTCAGCAAGCGAATTCCGCGGCGAAAGAATGATTCATCTTTGGAGGCTATCCAGCCAGAGACCCATTTTTTGACGTCTTCATAAGAATTGAAGCATTCGTCCGTGTGCCATCGACCGAAACAAGTGGTAGTCGGAAGGGGCACAGTCTGGTGAATAAGCCGTATGGGGTAACACTTCTCAGCGAAATGCTTCTAAGGTTTCCTTGACAGATTTTGTGATGTGAGAAACAAAATCACTTTATGCTGTCTCGTTTCATATTCTAGTCGTTTTCCATGCAATGCTCGGCTCAAACGGATCATTTGTTCTCTGTAGAGATTCCCTGTGACTATTTATCCACTTTTCAACAGCTCATGGTACAGCACACCCTTCCCACCAAAAATAGCATTGCGTTCTTTCCGTGGATATTTCGCTTCGGCGTCGATGTTGAAGGTTGGCTGGGATCGCAAATAGTTTTTCGACGTTTGGGGTTGTCAAAATAAATCCATTTTTCATCCTCAGTGATGATACGATGTGAAAACCCCTTTCTTTGTTGCCTAGCAAGCAGAATTTCGCAGGTGGCTTTTCGCCTTTCAATGTCTTGGCTTCATTTCATATGGGACTCATTTTCCTTCCTTGTAAACCTTTCCTAAGGCTTTCAAACGATAGAAAATGATAGATTGAGCACAATTTAATGCTTCTGCAAGTTGCTTTTGCGTTTTACATGGGTTCTCGTCCACCAATGCCTGCAATTCTTCGTCTTCGAATACTCTTGGCCGTCCAGAATGCTCTTTGTCCTCTACATCAAAATCACTACTTTTAAAGCGTCGTAACCATTCTTTGCATGTTTTATCGGAAGGAACATTATCACCATAAATTTCTACAAGCATTCGATGAGCTACAGCTGCAGTTTTCTTCCAACTGAAGCAAAAGATTAACACTTCGCGCAAATGACGCTTATTTGGTTCAAATTTCGACATTTTCCGATGCAGTAAAAAACAATGTTATTGATGCAAACGTATACCTTTATGTACTGAATGTTATTTAGATGTCCAAACAAACCATTAAGCTTCGTTTAGACATTAGTGGTTAACAACAGTTCTAGCTATAGTTACTTGCCGCTAGATGGATGGAACTTCCCGATTTACTTAATATCTAGAGGCATGCCTATTCTCAATGGAGCGCTTGTATTGTAAGATACTTTAGACTCCCTAACTTAAGACCCGCCACAGACCATTACTATCACCGATCGCGGTAGGAGAACCCACATTCGAGACGTACTTTTATCTCTTTTTTGTTTTGACCTTACTCTATTAGCAAAGAGAAGGAGGGATCATTTCTCTCCCCGTCTACAGATACAAGGACGCACTCGGTAGCAGCTCACCGCTGCGCACGTCCTCTATGCCCGTTTTTGCTTCTAGTTCAAAGTTCCAAAGAGTCACCGCAAAGCCTCGAAGAGGGAAATCTTTCCATTCCCTTTTCTACGGCGAACCTGTCAGAGAGTACATCTCGGCGAAGGTTTCTTTTCCCGTGTGAAGGGTGAATAACGTTTTTATTCATCTTCACACTTCACTTTGAGACATTCCACTTTCTACAATGGCTCCTTACTTTCTTAAGTTTTATTAACCATCGGGATATATTCGTTCTGATGACTGACATTTGGCATGACATTTCTTTTTTGTCTTGGTTAGTGTGGAGTCAACGTCGTCGGAATCGAGGACTAACTTCGAACAATTTTTGTTGTTGAACTTTTGATGTTATGACAACGTCTAAAATCTTATCGACCCCCCCCATTGAGCCGATGCTGTACATCGACTACACGTCATCATCAGATTATCTCAATTTTAGTTTTTCTTCTTTCATAATCTTTTCCATAAGGGTAATTCGTTCGGTGCCGCCGACAATACCTTGGTTTGGTCCTTGCATTTTGATGACTTGCAACGTTTGAGACTATAACGACACTTGCCGGCTTCTGGGTGTCTGATTAGCCTGAGACGGCACGTTATCTTTCTTATTTGACATATTTATGATATCAGGTGTAGTAAAAAGAAATCCATTATTTTTGCATGAAATTGAAGGCTTTAATTACCATAGTTAGAATGATCCGATTTAGGTCAAATATGCGCCGTTTTGTTCGATAACTTGTTGCCATTTTTAAGGTAATTTCATTATGCCTCTTTCATAGAAGCCCTCGTCCCTATTGGCAAAAAATTGAGACAGTCGATTTTCACAAGCCTCTCTTGAAGCGAATTCTTCACCAGCAAAATTGTTCGCCATGGACAGGAACAGATGGTAATCACTTGGTGCCAGGTCCGGACTATAAGGTGGATGCGTAAGAACCTCCCAACCAAGCTCCCGGAGCTTCTGGCGAGTCACTATCGATGTGTGTGGCCTGGCGTTGTCCTGATGGAACACAATTCCTCTCCTATTGGCCAAAGCTGGCCGCTTCTGGGCGATTGCTTCCTTCAGACGGTGCAATTGTTGACAGTACAGTTCTGAGTTAAGAGTTTTGCCGTAGGGGAGCAGCTCATAGTAGTAGATAATTCCCTGCCAATCCCACCAAACACAGCAAAACCTTCCTGGCCGTCAATCCTGGCTTGGCCACCGTTTCCGCCGGCTCACCGCGATTCGACCACGACCGTTTTCGCTTGACGTTGTCGTAAGTGATCCACTTTTCATCACCAGTGACCAACCGCTTCAGAAATGGGTCGATTTTGTTGCGATTCAGCAGCGATTCGCAGATGGAAATTCGGTCCATGAGGTTTTTTTGCGTTAACTCGTGTGGCACCCATACATCGAGCTTCTTTTTGTATTCAGCCTTATTCAAATGGTTCCAAACGGTTTTTTGTGCAATCTTTAGCTCTTGGGCAATCGAAACAGTGCTTACATGACGATCGGACTCGACAATGTCCATGATTTTATCGATATTTTCGACAATTGGCCTTCCAGTGCGTCTTTGACATCGAAATTACCGGAACGGAATCGACGAAACCAAAATTGCGCGTGATTGGCTGTTATAGTATCAGGACCATAAACACTATTCACATTTTCAGCCGCCTGGCTTGCGTTTTCGCCTTTATCGAAGAAAAACTGTAAAATATAGCGTATTTTCTCTTTGTTAGTGTCCATTTTTGACGCGCGCTCAAACAAAACTGAGTCAACTAATCACAAAACTGTCAGGAAAGTTTTTTTAGTACGAAATCTCATCTTTCTAACGCCATCTAGTGGAACCCGATCGGACTTATACAACGCGAGATACAGATAACTAAAGCCATCTATTGGAAAAATAATGGATTTCTTTTTACTACACCTGATATTATAAAAAGAGGAGTAATTTTTTATTGTATGTCGTAACTTTCTTTCTCTTTGTGCACCTTTAGCTTGGCTTGTAAGTGGATACATCCGCCGTGATGAAAGCTGTCAAGGATTAACGTCCTCGCTAGTATAGTGCCAGCGGATTCGTGAGACCTACAAGTTGCCTTACCCAAACACGATCGTGCATTACGAGGAAAACCCATTTATCTATTTACTTATATATCTATTTATCTACCCATATAGCACACGGACGTCCACTGGACGTCCATTATATGTCCATTTTTTTTACAAAAACGTCCATAGGACGTACGTTTGTCACAACTTCGGACATCCATCGGACATGAACGTCCGATGGACGTACATCGGACGTTCTACAGGTCAGATGTCCAAATAAGGACATCCTTGTTACGTCCAATTTATGTCCACGGACGTAAATCTGACATATGGACATAAATTGGACGTGAAACGTACATCCATTGGATGTCCGGTGCTATCTGGATACTTGTCTATTTATACGAGATCCGTGTATAACACAGATACTTAACAAGAGATAAGTAACACAGATAAGTAACAAGAGATATTTGATGGTATTTTAATGTGAAGCGTGCATTTTTAGCATGTCCAAGTAAACAACGTGAATCTCTTACGTGTTCGAGTAAACATGACACATTTTTAACATGTTCAACCAAACTTTGCACTTCTAATGTGTCCAAGTGAATAACGTGCATTTTTAACATGTCTAAGTGAACGGGATGCATTTTTAATTTGTCTATACTGTTTTCAAATAATATTTTTGCTTTGTTGTCTTTAAAAACGTATTTAAAATTACTGTGTCCAAATTAAACATATTCAATTGAATAGTATTTAAATGTTCAAAAATTAATATTAACACTATTCAATTAACTATATCTAACATTAACATGTCTGTTTACAACGTGTCGAATTGTGTTCAAGTACCGCTCACTTCTTATTGTTTTAATACAAGAAGCAAAGTCGTCAGACAATAAAAAATTGTATGAGAACAATTTCTGAGTAGTTATAAATGGTTGTAAGTAACAAATTAGCAATAAATTTTTATATTATTTTATTATATGATATTTCATTTTTTTATATCATAAAATCATCAATATCATAAAAATATTTTACTAACGAAACATCGTTAAACAAAGGAGCAACAATTGTTTTTGGGAACTTATTAGCAAGAACGAGCAAATAAAAATATTAGCCAAAATTTCTTCTAGTTTATTTTGTTCCATTGATTTATGAGACGTAGATATTGTACAGAAAGTCCCATTGTAAGGTGTTGAAACTAATCAGCTGTCATTTTCAAATGGATGCAGTTATTGTAAAAACAAAAATTGCGTTGAAAAAAGGAGAGTCTGCAGTTTTTAATGGGTATAAATAAAATTTAATTAAATGTTTGTTCATAAATTTATTTTATTGATGAAAAATATGCTAATAATTGAATAAGCTAATGATAAGTATTTTCAAAATGCGCACTATTTGAATTTGTACAAAACTCAATTCTTTTACGAAAACTCATAAAAACTTTTTCTAACATGTCGTTTTTAATGTTACTGACGACCTTTTTAATAGTTGCTACTAAATCAGAAGGACCTGGCAGATCGTGTCTACGGTCTTGGATAGTTCCATACTACATAAAATTATCGATAATTCTGTTAAAAATAACACGAAACATTATTTTAATGCAGATTTATTGCCAAAAAGTGGAGTGACCTAACGCATAAGTTTTAATAAATAATGAATTCTAATCTTTTCAGTGTGGTTTCGCTCTTAACTTTATGTGTTCTGTATTTAGTACGAAACCGCCTATAAGCACTGCTATATATTTTCTCTGGAAAAGAAACACTCGATAAGATAGATCTTTTCTTTCGTCGTTAGATTATTCATTTTGACGCGCATGTATGCAGTACTTGTTTCTACCATAGCCAGAATAAAACTGCGGACCCTCAAATGAACGACCGTAAACTATACCAGGGGATGTATTCCGTACTCGCGTACCGATAGTTGTCGGCATCGTTAGCAGTATTGCGCAGCTTTTTTGTTATATGAAAAACCTGCGCAATGTCGCTAACGACATCGATAACTGTTGATATGCAAGTATGAAATACAGCCCCTCGGTCTGTATATATGAAACTGGAATTTGTCCATGGATGGCCCTAGCTGTCAATGTAGTTACCATCAAACTGCGTCATTGGCGCAATTTCCATTTGTTGACATCTGACAAAGATTTTCAACTCACAACAATACAAGTTTCATACAACAGCATAGTTTGTAATAACGTTGAACATGTCGAATTTTGTGCCTGGAAGCTACGATTTGCGGACAGCATTGATTTTCTGTTACCATTTGAAGAAAACTGCTGCAGAATCGCGTGAAATGCTTGTCGAAGCTTACGGTGAGCATGCTCTTGGTAAATCACAGTGCTTTGAGTGGTTTAAAAAATTCAAACGTAGCGATTTTTACGTGAGAAACGAAGAACGTGGAAGATCACCGAAAAACTTTGAAGACAGCAAATTGTAAGCATTGTTGGATGAGGATGACGCTCAAACGCAACAACAACTCGCTGATCAATTAAATGTGACACGAGAAGCCGTTTCCATAGCCGTTTGAAAATCATGGGAAAGATTCAGAAGATGGGGAAATGGGTTCCACATGAACTGAATGAAAAACAGCAAAAAAACCGAAAAACCACTTGCGAAATGCTGCTCGCCAGGTACAAAAGAAAGTCATTTCTCCATCGAATTGTGACTGGCGATGAAAAGTGGATATATTTTGAGAATCCTAAGCGTAAAAGATCATGGGTAACTCCAGGCGAATCATCGACATCGACTGCAAGGCCAAATCGCTATGGACGGAAGACAATGCTCTGTGTTTGATAGGATCAGAAGGGTGTGATCTATTATGAGCTGCTAAAACCTAGCAAAACCGTTCATACTGAACGCTACCGACAACAAATGATCGATTTGAATCAGCTGATTTGAAGCTTTGCGTGAAAAACGACCAGAATATCAAAAAAGACAACACAAAGTGATTTTGCTTCATGATAATGCACCATCACACAGCAAAACTAGTCGAAGAAACGATTGACGCGTTTAGTTGGGAAATACTTTCGCATGCGGCTTACTCACCAGACTTGGCTCCGTCCGATTATTATTTATTTGCATCGATGGGACACGCATTTGCTGAGCAGCGCTTCACTTCTTACGAAAATGTACGAAGATGGCTCGATGACTGGTTTGCCTCAAAAGAGCACCAGTTTTTTTGGCGTGGCATCCACAAATTGTCAGACAGGTGGGAAAAATGTATAGCTAGCGATGGACAATACTTTGAATAAAATATTTTTTATCATTTTCATACAATAAACGTGTATTTTCTATACAAAAATTCCGGTTTCATATTTACATACCTGGTAATACCAGTTCTGAAGTCATGGAGGGGAGAACCAATCGTTTTGTTTCAACACCTTCCCGTGGGACACCCTGTACATGAATTTTTCATACCTGTATATATATTTTGCTAGTGCAATAATATGTGTTAGTTCCGTAATTTAGTTGATTGATTTTTCGTTAAAAATAAATAAATAATTTTGAAAAGATAGTAACAAATTGATAACGAAATAGCGTTAAGAAAGTACGTTTTTGTTTCTATTTTCCATTTCTTTTTCACATGACTGTGCGTTACTTTTAAGCTAGCACAATCATTATTTTTAACTAAATAGTTTCAGCAGTAAGATCTGGAATATAGGAACAAATTATCAACGATAAAGCACTAAAAAAAGATGTCTTCATTCTTCATTTCTCTATTTTGTTTTGCATGGTTGTGCTAACTTTACTGTTAAGCTAGCACAATCATTTTTAACGAAGTGTCTGAAATAACAGAACCGGGAATATGGCGACGAATTGAGAACAAAATAAATGTTAAATTGACAAGTTATATTTGTGCAAATTATATTTGATTATTCTAAAATGACTACTTCAGTTTAATAAATGTGATTAATATAGTTAAACATCAATGGCTATGTTTCATATTTGGATGAATGTCGCAACAACGCATATGTAAAATAAAACAAATATATAAATGTCGGATGCAAAATATGAAAATTACATAAAACCCTTTTTTACTAAATAATGAGATTATTTCGAAAGTCAACATACATTCTGTTTAATTTTAATGTAAAATATAAACCAGGAAAAATAAGGAGAAAATTTTGAGTTTCATATTAGAAACTGCTCATGCTTTGAGGAATCGGACTAGATTCTAATTAGATTTCATGAACTTATCCATATAAGTAGGAGATCTGGTCGAATTTTAATGTCACATATTTTTTGATGAGCCCGAAATCTATTCACAAAATCAATCCATATATTTGCAAATTATTATTTTATTATTATAGTATTATATTTTTTCATAACTTTTAAGTATTTAGATACTTTCTTATGCATTCGTGCTTGCATTAAAAATGTAAATGAATTTTAATATATTTTTCGAAATTTTTCGATTTATTTTGAAATATATAAAGAACAATTCAATTATATAATTTTCATATTCCATCGCAAAAAAACGATGGTTGCTTGGAGGTGATCAATTCGTCTAATTATTTTCGGATCTCGATTTTATCTCGGAAGCGCTGTCTGTTTTACATTGACCGAAATAAATGATAATTCAAAATAGTCAAATCTGGTAAATATGCCGCGTACTTCCTAGCCCGAGTTTAAGATGTTCTTTCTGAATGGCGGAAGCAACGTGTTTGTGGCCTAGCATTTTCATGCAGTCATATGATCTTCCGCTTTTATTGTCCTTTTTCGTTCAACTCCTCGGCTAAACGTTTTAATTGTTTGCTTTAACGGTCCGCAATAATCGTTTATCCCGGTTGAAGCAGCTCGTAGTAGAGCACACTCTTTATATGCCACTAAATATAGAGGAAGACTTTTTTGGTGTGAATATTCGGTCTTGCGTTCGATGTGGACGGTTCTCTGAGATCAACATCCATTTTTCGTTGCCAGTGACTATCTTTCACAAAAAGTCTTCTCGCACCTTGGCAAGCAGTGATGCGGCACCTATTTTTTGGTTTTCTGGATTTCTCCCATCTCATATAAACGATTGGAGATAGTTTGTCATGACTTCTAGCTACTCTGCGAATCCTTCTTGCGTCTATGCCGTGTTTTCGTCCCACAACGTGTACAATTTATCGACTTCCAATTTTCTCCTTCTAAAGGGCAAGGCGGAAGCAACGTGTTTGTGGCCTAGCATTTTCATGCAGTCATATGATCTTCCGCTTTTATTGTC